TACAGACTTCAGGCTTCTGGCTTCTAGAGTTGTAAAAATAAATTTCTGTTGCTAAATGTCACCAAGTTTGTCAGTTATTATAGCAGCCACCAGAAAATAATACGTCATGTAGCAGTTTGGAAACAGCCCGACTCTCTGAAAAGGAGATGGAAATGAGTATGCTGTCTTACACATGAGAGAGAGAGAGAGAGAGAGAGAGAGAGAGAGAGAGAGAGAGAGAGAGAGAGAGAGAATAAGAATGAAGGCAGCAGGAATCTTGTGTTTCAGATGTCATACTTCATGTGGATTCACTGGTGGTCATTAACTGCCTCTTGCTCAGAACTTCTGTCCAGGTTGACCTTGTATATGATACCACCTACCACAAGGCCTTGCATAGAACCAAGCAGAACTGCAAGTTCAACAAAGACAAGAGTTGTATTAGAGATCTGGGGGGAAAAAGTCATTGTCTGAAATCTTTCTGGAGCTGGAGTATTTATCAGAAATAAACAACAAAAACAACAAAAAAGAATAAACCTCCTTTTATACTCCCACCAACAGTGAAGTGTTCCTTTCCCCCCACAGCCTCACCAGCATTTGTTATTGGTTGATTTCTTAATGATAGTGATTCTTTCTGGAGTGAGATAGAATTTCAGTGTTGTTTTAATTTGTATCTCTTGAATGACTAGTGATATTAAACATTTTTTTTCCTGGTACCGGGAATCGAACTCAGGACTTTGTGCTTGAAAGGCAGGTGTGGTGCAGCTCAACTAAATCCCCAGCCCTTATAAACACTTTAAAATATATTTATTTGCTGTTTGCGCTTCTTCATCTGAGAAGTGTCTATTCATTTCAGATGCCCAGTTTTGGATTGGGACTTTAAATTTAGGGGATCTGATTGTGTTGACTTTGTTATATATTCTACATATTAGTCCTTTGTCTGAGGAATAGCTGGTAAAACAAATTTTTTCCCATTCTGTGGGTTTTCTCTCCACTCTGTTGTTGGTTTCATTTGCTGTGCAAAAGCTTTTTAATAAGAAGAGATCCCAGTTGTTGATCCTTTGTAATATTTCCTGTGTGATGGGGGTTTTGTTCATAAAGTCTTTGCCTGCATCAGTGTCTTCCAGAGTTATACCTATTTTGTCTTCCAGCAGATTTAGTGTTTCTGTTTTAGTATTTGGATCTTTAATCCATTTTGAGTTTTGTTTAGTGTATGGTGAGAGTTATGCATCAAGGTTTAATGTTCAGCATGTGGAAAGCCGCTTTTCCAAGCACCATTTAATAAAAGGGCTATCTTTTTTTCCATTGAAGGTGTTTGTCAAAGATAAGGTAGCTGAGTGTGTTTGGAGTTGTTTTTGCATCTTCTGCTCTGTTCCATTGATCCTGTGGTCTGTTTTCTTTTGCTAGTATCATGCTGTTTTTATCACAGTAGCTTTGTAGTATAATTTCAAATCAGGGATTGTGATGCCCCCTGCCTTGCCTTTGTTGCCCAGAATTACTTTTGCTATTCTAGATCTCATCTGAATTTTAGGATTGTTTTCTCTAGTTCTGTGAGGTACACTGTTGATATTTTGATCGGGATTGCATTAAATCTATATAGTATTTTTGGAAGTATAGCTATTTTCACTATATTTGTTCCGCTTTTTTTTGATACTGGGGCTCAAACTCAGGACCTTGTGCTTGTGAGCCAGGCGTGGTGACACTGAGCTAAATCCCCAGCCTCCATTTTCTGATATCCTCTTCACTCTCCGTTTTCAGAGTAAAGACCTTTTCCTTACTTTGTTAGATTGATTCCTAAGTATTTCATTTTTTTTGATGCTATTGCAAAAGGTGTCGTTTCCCTAATTTCTCTCAGTGAGTTTGTTATTTGTGTACAGAAATCCTATTTATTTTTGAGTGTTGACTTTGTATCCTGCTATACTACTGAATTTGGTTATTAAATCTACGAGTCTTTTTGGTGGAGTTTTGTGGTCTTCTATGTAGAGTATTGTTATGGCTTATATCTAGATGTCCCCTCATACCCTCATGTGGTCATAGGTGAAGCTTTTTGGAGGAAATTGGATCTAAGGGATATGATCCTGGGATTAATTCATGGAGTGATGCTAGGATTGAGTACCCCACCCTGGGAAAGAGTGCTATCTGCCCTAAGGGTGGGTAGCTGGGATAGGCTATAAGGGACAGAAAGAGGGCTCCTGTGGTCACTGCTTCTTACTTGCTGCTTGCTGCCTCTTCACTACTTTGCTGCTTTGCTACCTTATGCCCACCATAACTGTTTTTCCTCTACAATGCCTCTTTCCCATGCCACCCTGCCTTGGATCCAGACAACTAAGGACTGAAACTTCTACAAACTGGAAGCCAAATAAACTTTTCCTCCTTTAATTTTGGATATTGGGTATTTTGTCTTAGCAATGAGAAAAGTAACTAAGACTTCATTACAGTATTCCTGAGTATTTCATTTTTCTTGGTGCTAATTTGAAAGGTGTTGTTTCCCCAATTTCTCTCTCAGTGAGTTTGTTATTTGTGTACAGGAGTGCTATTGGTTTTTGAGTGGTGATTTTGTATCATGCTATGCTAATATATTTGGTTATTAAATCTAGAAGTCTTTTGGTAGAGTTTTTGGGGTCTTTTATGTAGAGTATCATGTCATCCACCAATACTGATAATTTAACTTCTTCCTTTCCTGTCATTATTCCTTTGTTTTCTTTCTCTTGTCTAATTGCTCTGGCTAATGTTTCCAGAACTATAATGAATAGGAGTGGTAATAGTACACATACTTGCCTTATTACTGATTTTAGAGTGCAAGGTTTCAGTTTTAACCATTTAGTATGATGTTGGCTGTTGTTTTTCATAGATGGCTTTTATCAGGTGGCAATAAAGACCTCCTGTTCCCATTTTCTGTAGGGCTTTTTAAAAATCATGAATAGGTGTTGGACTTTGTCAAATGCTTTTTATGTATCTATTGAGATAATCATGTGGTTTTTGTCCTTGCTTCTATTAATGTAGAGTATTACATTTATTGATTTGCATATGTTGAACCATCCCTGCATCCCTGGAATGAATCCTACTCAGTGATGATGTATAATCTTCCTGATGCTTTGCTGCACTTTTTTTGCTAGTATCCTATTGAGGATTTTTGCATCTATATTCAATAAGGAGATTGGCCTGTAGTTCTCTTTTCTGTTTTGGTCCTTGTTTGTTTTTGGTATTGGGGTAATGCTTGCTTCCAGGAATGAGTTTGTGAGTGTTAGTTGTCTTTCAATTTCATTAAAGAGTTTGAGGAATAATGGCATTAAATCTTCTCTAAAGTTCTTGTGGAATTCAAGAGCGAATCCATCAGGACCTGGGCTTTTCTTTGTTGGTAGTTTTAAAATTACTTCTTCAATTTCAATGACTGATATTGGATTATCTAGAATTTTTATATCTTCTTGATTCAGCTTTAGTAATTCATATGTATCTAGGAATCTGTCCATTTCTTCTGCATTTTCCATCTTATTAAAGTACAGGTTCTGGAACTAGGTATTGATGATCTTCTGGATTTATGCAGGATCCATTGTGACTTTACCCTTTTCATTTATAATTGGATGGGTTTAAGCCCTTTCCTTTTTGTGAGAAGGCTGGCTAAGGGTTTCTCTATTTTATTTGATCTTTCAAGAACCAATTCTTGAATTCATTGATTCTTTCATTGTTTTCTAGTCTCCATTGCATTAATTTCTGCTCTTCATAATTTCTTCCTTTGTATGTGCTTTGGGCTTAATTTGGTCTTCTTTTTCTAGAAGCTTGAGATTTAACATTAGGTTATTTGTTTGAGTTTGCTCTGTTTTTCTGATGTAAGAATTCACAGCTATAAATTTCCCTCATAGGACTGCTTTCATTGCAACCCATAAACTCTCGAATGTTATGTTGGCATTATTGTTTAATTGTGGAAACTGTCTAATATCTTCTTTAATTTCATGTGTGACCCATTGGCTTTTCAGGACAGTGTTATTTAATTTCCATTTTTTAATGTAGCTTTTGTGATTTCTTTTGCCATTGATTTCTGATTTCAGTGTAGTATGATCTGATAATATACATGGGATAATTTCAATTCCTTTGCATTTACTTAAGCATGTTCTAAGTGCTAGTATGTGGTATAATTTGGAGAATGTCCCATGTGCTACCGAGAAAAATGTGTATTCTGTTGTTGTGTGGTGGAACATTCTGTAGATCTATCTCCTAGGTCTATTTGTTCAAAGGTTAGGTTCAGGTCTAAATTTTTTTGTTACCATTAGAACTCTGAGAATTGAATGATTTATATTTACTTTAAAAAGTAAAAATCATTTTATCTCAGAAAGTAAAGACTTCATATAATTTAACTGGAGCAATCAATAAGAATAAGAGGAATCCCATGCTAAGTCATTAAATAAATAACCCAAGTATCACATTCTGCTAACAAAAGTATCAATGGAGGTCTGTGGGTAGGCATTCTCCAAAGTTTAGGGATATGTCCTTCTCCCCTAAGTACCTCTCACTCTCTGAAAGTATGACCCATCAGCATCAGTATCATCCACCAGTCTAATAATTAATTCTTTGATTTGAGGAGTTAGAGTAAGAACCCTGGCTATTATATTTTCTGTCCATGTGCTGGAAAAGGCAGGACTTCCATTCATAATTGAGAATGGTCAGTGGAGTCATAGAGTATTTATCACATGGTCACAGATTGAGTTTCCTATCAGCACAAGCCTTGTCCAGGTGACAGCTTATTTCCTGTGACCCTCCACTGTAGGGGGCCCTGCCCCCCCGCTGGAACTCTTGAGTGCCTTCTACGGACATGCCCAGGCTTGCTGCAGGCCTTTGACGGACATGCCCGGGCTTGTTGCAGATCTACCCGGC